AGACTCGCGAATGACCGCTGCAAGCGCGAGCGAAATCAGAAGAGAGGGTCGAAGCACGTGACCACGCTTGTATTATGTGAAATTGTACAAGTGCGCGTTTATTTTAGCTTTTCGTATTTGAACAAAAAACTATTGTGCAATTGATGAAATACGTAGTGTTATAATGGAAGTAAAATAAAGGTACAAAACGCCAAACAGGTCTTCCATGAAATTAAAAGGAGTATGCGCTTTCCAGCGCTTTGAGTACATATCAAGCCTGCATCGATAAGGGATCCGACTTTCAAATGTGCCATGCCATCAAATGCTAATGGGAGACCTACCATAGCGCTCGCGTTTTCAATTCGCTCACTGAACGAGTTTCCCTGAAGTTGGCCTTGTCAAATAAACTGATAATCTTTTCTGGTATGAGGTAGAAGAAAGGCTGTGTTTTTGGGTAATACATGCGTCCGTATTTTTTCTACAGTCTTGGCAGTAACTAAGGCCGAGTGAAGTAAGCTCAGTGAGACTTTATTTGTTTGGCTGACGGACTGCCTTGAATTTACGACTGATTATAAAATGCTCGATAAACCAGTGAACAATCTGTTTAAAACCTAGTGTACCTGGTAGCCCTGGTAGGCAGCTAATAAGGCTACCGGCAGTATGCGTTTCCTTACGGAGCTAATGGTTTGTCTTCAACTCGAAAGTGCCGAAGCGGCCAAAAAATAATACAAGGAGAATTATGTTTTGCCTGCCCGTTAAATTGAATCACAGTAAACCCAATAAGCATACAAAAACTACGATTCCAAACTTTTCAGATATACATTGCTTTAGTTGACTTTGTGAGGCTTCGCCGCATCCCAAGTCCTCGATATTTCAGCCCAAGTGAGCTGACGTATTTTGGCTACACAATATCAACAACTCGGTAGGAAACCGTCGGGCAGCGCATCGTGGTGGGATACCAGTGAAAGAAGGGAAACCTTCACTGCGTACTTATTCATTGAAAAGTGCCAACTGAACGGTTACAGACTGCTGGACAGGGAAGCAAAACTCTAATATGCATCTTGTTTACAAAACTGAATATCCATTTTCTCCTCGAACGCGTCTTCCTGAACTTTCCCAGATAGTCATTGACTGTTACTCAATGGCGAGCAAATGCTACAAAGCGACTCCACAAATTCCGTAAAAGATATCACTTTTCAACAGACGTGAGGCGGATTTACGAGAAGGCACTACTCGCATGCCTCATCAGTAGCACCCACCGTTACATCAGTTGGTGGACGGAGCTCCCTCCAAACAAAGGAGATGCTCGAAAAACAGACGAATTCGGCAGTAGATCTATTCGGCTCACGCACTTGCGTCCCATTTGTCCTGTTTGAACCCCGAGCGTGTTGAATTGGATAGACATTCTTTTGGCGGTTGGGAATGACAAACGGCTCTTGCCGTCGACTGCCAGGCTTCTGCGATCCGAGTTCACACCTTCTGATGATCCTTCCGCTTGACCTGCGCGCCTATGAAGAATGTTCATACCTTTCTACTTGCTGTTTCCTGCCTAGTCCTCTTCTGAACAACGATTAGGTTTCCTCGGTTTCTCCTTCTTTCTCTCTTTAGGTCCTATAGAGACAAGCCTGTTGCCAGCTACAACCCAAACTAAACCCGCGGATGTCGACCGGACATCAGCGTAAATGGGAAGCTGTCTATGGTTGGATCTATGGGATCACGATGAACCGTTAACGATGAACCGGAAACATCATTGGCATTTTCACTTCCCAGTCACCCCTTTGTCACCGAATTCAAAGCAAGCTCTGTCTCCGCTTCATTTGTCCGCGGGCCAGCCTTCCTGTTCTGCGTGCTGCGGTTCCGAATAGCTGTACACAATAATATCGTACACGAAAATAACAATGTTCTAGAGTCCTTTCGTCGAACGGAACATCAAACGCCGGAATATGAATGGTGCGCCGGACAAAACCATCGCCAATTGTTTAAATTGATATTGGGTGTCACCAACGGTAAACGTCGTTGGCTCCCGGTCCTTCGCCTCGATAGGTAGTTGTCAGTATCCGGAACGCAAGTCGAACACAGTGAAATATCGGGAATGCTGGAGGGAATCGAAAATCTCCGCAATCGAAGGAACAGCCGCTTGAGTTCTTTTAAGCGTCGGAAATTCACGCAAAATCCGTAGTTGTTATTGGCTTTCTAACAACCCCAACCGGGGAATCTTACGCATTATTGGCTTCTTCCATTATGTTATTACTCAACATCTCTTGAACCTGCCTATGAATATCCTCCCGTGGATGGAGCGGTAACGGTCGGTGGCCATAAGATTGGAAGCGTCCTGGAGACAGAGAAATTTCGTGTTCAATCCACGGGCAGGAGCCAAAAGGATCCTCTTTGCCCGTGAACATTTCCGAATACTCTTTGACCAAATAACTGCCTTTTCCCGTCTAACTGGACAGCGCTTTTTATGTTAGCTTGTGTTATGGCGCTAATCGCGACCCATCCAGGAAAAGAACGCTCAAAAATTTTATTATGCGCAAGTGATCGCATACGGGCGACACCGGCTGGTTCGAGCGTATCTGCGCGATTTCATCCTTACGGCCCAAGCTGTTTCGCGAGTTGGTCAAATCTGGTCTGCAGTTCCTCCACTGATGACCCATTATTCTTCTCGTGCGACTGCAAAGTGGCCAGTAGTGCCTCAAGCGGTTCCTGGACTAGCAACGCCAGCTCCTCCACACTCAACCGGCTAGTTGCTTTTGCCAACCGCAATTGGGCACCAAGCGCCTGCTGCACATCTTCGACAGACTTGTCGGAAAGCAACCGGAGGCGCACCACTTTTTCCATTCCCGGCAAAGACCAACCCAACGATCACTCCAGGCCGACAAATAGCACGATCGGGACGGATTCAGCTGTCAACCTGGCCGACTTCATCCGCCTCATAGCCTCCATGCGGTCGGCCAGCGTGTCGAACTCCGCTGGAAGGACTTCTTTCGCGACGTTCCAGTCCATCATCCGAGGGCCTCCACTTGCCGCATCCCGGGCCGCCTTTGGCAGGTCCCTGGGGAATGTCTTCAGCACCGTTAACTCCCCTCGAACAGTATTTAGTTCAGCAAGCCTCGCAGCCTACTCAAAGTCTCCAAGAAGTTCCAAAAAAAACTTTCCTTAAAGGGTTGTACCCATGGATCTTCACCATTAAATTAACAACGGTACCAAGTGGAAGGAAGAAGGCCTTCACTGCAGTGTTATTAATTAGAAGGGACCAACTGAAAGGTTACAGACTTTTGAACAAGGAAGCAAA